CACCTCAGCCTCCCAAAGGCGCGGGATTACAGGCTGAGCCACCGAGCCCGGCTCTTGAATGAATCTTTAAAAAATTCACTGAAGCCCAACACAGCGTCTCACAAAAACACTAGTTGGTACACTGATGGTGACGGGCTCATAGAACACCTAACTAGCAGGAGAAGGCTGTACTACAAAGGGTCCCACCTTCCCAAAGATAATTCTGGGTTTGTTTTGTTGTTGTTTTTTGACCCCCTCATAAAAGCCTAACATTAATTGGTTGAGGAGATGGATTTGATACTTACCTCCCCTTCTCTTGGCTGACCACTCATAAAAGCCTTTCTTCCAAGGCAATACTCCTTATCTTAAGTGATTGACTTTCTGGTTGACCCTGAGTGGCAGGAAACCACACAAAGGCAAAATTCCTGGCATGCAGCAACAAAATGCCTGTAGGAGACTTTGATGGTTACTCCAAGCATTTTTTAAAGGGTATATTGCTTAACATCTCCGCAAAGGAGATCATTTATGATTATTTCAGCAATGTTTTTTCAAAGGCTATTCCATTAAAAGCATCTCTGTGAAACAAGGCAAAGACATTTCTCACATATAATGCAGGTATCATTCAACCAATCTAGCATATTATGTGACTGATTTGTAAAACAACTAAGTTAATAGATCGTTTTTTCTCCTGAAATAACTGCAAAAAAAAAAAAAAAAAAAAAAAGGATGCCTATCCTAAATTTTAGAACCACATTCCATATGTCTGTCACTTTAAAAAAAAAAAAGTGGGCTGGTATAGTGGATATAGCTCCTATGTACTGGCTACATACAATCTTCTTTTCTTTTGAAGAACAAGAGCCAAAGATTTTTTATTTTTATTATAAAGATGTGGGGTACAATTCAGAGTTAGGTATACAAACATTGATCATGCAGTTCCCCTTGTTGATGAGGTATGCCCCTCCCTCCCCTAGCAGTTTCCCTCACCTGCCAATCCCACCCCCCCACACACACACAGTTTCCCACTGTTGTCAATCGCTTTCTTATAGCATTATAATCATTGAAGGTCCACTTATAAGTGAGAACATATGGAACTCCGTTCTCTGTTTCTGTGATAAATCACTGAGTATGATCGACTCCAAATACATCCAAGTTGCTGCAAAGTCCATAAATCTGTCCTCCTTTATGGCTGCATAATATCCCATTATGTATATATATATACCACATTTTTTAAAATCCAGTCCAGCCTCGATGGACAACATGATTGGTTCCATGTTTTTGCTATTGTGAACAGAGCTATAACAAACATACGTGTGCAGGCATGTTTTTTGTAGAATAATTTGAGTTCCTCCGGGTATATTTCCAATAGGGGAATTGCTGGAAGGTCAATTTCTAGTTCTTTCAGAAATCACCTCACTGCTTTTCAAAGAGGTTGTATTAGTTTACATTCCCACCAGCAGTGTAGAAGCGTTCCTTTTCCTCCACATCCTTCCAGCATCTGTTGTTGTTTGTTTTATTAATGATGGTCATTCTTACAGGGGTTAGGTGGTATCTCAATGTGGTTTTGATTTGCATTTCTCTGATGATGAGTGAGGCTGAGCACGTTTTCATGTGTCTGTTGGCTGCCTGTATATCTTCTTTTGAGAAGTGTCTATTCATGTATTTTGCCCACTTTTTAAAGAGGCTATTTGTTTTTTTCCTTTCGGCGCATTTGAGTTCCTTGTAGATCCTAAATGTTAGGCCTTTGTCACATATACAGTTGGCAAATATTTTTTCCCATTCTGTGGGCTGTCTCCTTGCTCTCTTGATGGTATCTTTTGCTTTGCAGAAGCTCGTTAATTTGATGAGGTCCCACTTGTCTATCTTATTTCTTAAGGTATTGGCCTTTAGGGTTCTGAAAAGGAATTAGTTCCCATTTCCAATTTTCACAAGGGTGTCTCCTACGTTTTCTAAGATTCTTATAGTTTGGGGTTTTACATTTAGGTCTTTGACCCATTTAGAGTTAATTTTTGTGTATGGTGATAGGTAGGGGTCCTGTTTCAATCTTCTGCATGTGGTCAGCCAATTTTCCCAGCATCATTTACCGAGTAGGTTCTCCTCTCCCCAGCGGTGGTGGTTGGAGGCTTTGTCAGAGATGAGTTGGTTGAGGAATTGAAGGAACCAACGTTTTATTTGTTCATTTCTAGCATTTGAAGTACTCTTCGATGACATCGTTGGCCCAAGATTCTTTGCCATAGTCCTTAACTACTACACAACTGCAACTAACCACTTTACTGGGTTTTCCCTCTCTATTTTACATAGGCCTACCCATTCCCCTAGTTTCTTGTCATCAATCTCAATTAGGTTGATTTGGTGTTGAGCACAAAGGGCCTTCACCTATGGGGGGCCAGCCCCCCAAAAGAGATTTAGAGGGTCCCTGGAAGGTGGGGCAGCGTCGGTGAATATTCTGGAGAAATAAGGAGAAAGAAA